TTTGCTAGTTTAGGACCGATGTCAGTGAAGAATTTATTAAACTCATGAGCTATAGCTTTTGGCTCGCATATGCGTTTGTTATCCACTATAACCATCTGGGGAAGAGAACCTGAGCATTATTTTTGTCTGCCAGTAATTTCGTTTATTATTTGCCAATTGCGTTTTGTGTTATTTTTGAATCTATCTAAGAGTCTTGTGTAATAGTTTTTTTTCAAGTTTTTACGAACTTTTTCAAAGAGATATTTGTAATTTTTATATATTTTCTCATTATCTAATGATTTTGTTTTAAGATATTTTATATACAGCTTCTGTTTAATCTTGGATGATTTTTTAAACCCTTTTGTTATCCAGGGGTTATTTTTATATTTTGGAGTTATTGTCTTTTCAATAATAGGAAAGTTTGCGTCACAAACGGAGTAAAAGGTTTCATAAAAGTTATCATAAATTTTGTCTGCATTGTCATTGAAGTTAATATGCTTCCAGTGCAGTAACGATAGTTGGTTTTTAAACAATTTTATATTTGTATGGTTAAAAATGCGGATTTTAATTTTGTTTATTTTATTTTTAATTTCAGAATTAATTGTCAAGAATATTGGAAAATGGTCAGTTATATCAGATTTTAGGATACCTGTTTGAATATCATTGTTGAATATTTCTGTTGTAATAATATTATCAATCAAAGATGCCGAGTTTTTTGTTACTCTAGTTGGCCTTTTTATTAAAGGAATTGTTCCCGACTCAAAAAAGGAGTCGTAAAAGTTTTTAATTTTGTTATCTTCATTATAAAGAAAACAATTCATATTTAGGTCTCCAATAATGAAGTTCTTTTTGTTTTCTTTAATACCTTTTTTGAAAATACTTTGTTAAAAAAAAATGCTCAAGTTCTCGTTCACGCTGCCAGGTGGGCGATAACAACAGCTTAATAACATGTTTTTAGGTTGATTGTTCATAATTTCAATAGTCAAAATTTCTTTATAGCTATCAGAAGCACTTAAATCATTCCTAACATAATAAACAATATTTTCATTCACATATATAAGTACTCCTCCGCCGCATTTATTTACTTATCTTTTAAACGAAATTAATTTAAAATGAGGAATATAAAAGTTGGAAGTACTATCTATGTTATTTGAAATCTAGGTTTCAGTTAAACAAACTATGTTAAAACGATTTTTTGTTTCCTCTAACAAGTTTAAAAGTTTTTCAAAATTGTTATTAAGACTTCGAATGTTTACGTGTAGTATCATAATTTTATTTAAACATTTGTCATAAACATTTTTAAAAAGAATCCCTTCTAAATTGCTTGGAAAGTGATATGAGCAATCCGTAAGCGCCTCGTAGGAATAGTTTATAACGGGGTCTATATTTACATCATTTATTTCATTAAAGTTAAAACGCATGGATTCAAAGTCACTGATTCGAGCCATGCTTTTTTTTTTTAAGATAATTTTATTTGAGCATTTACTTTTAGAAAGGCTTCTTTTTAGGACTTAAAGTTAGGGATGGGATTTTTAAATTCTCTACAAAAAATTTTATCATACTTGATAATGGCGTACTTTCCTTCACCGCGTAGACTTTTGACTTCTTCCCATAACTTTTTGCGACTCTCGATAGTTTCTTTTGCGAAATCTTTGTTGATGAATACACCAGTACCTTTCAAGTTTTTAACGGCGTTAAGAATCTTGTTCTTGTCTTGATAATTTAAAAGTTTCAGAACTATAGTTCTAGGTATTTTACTATTTTTTGTTTTGCCTACTCTATGTGCTCTTTCTACAACAACTTCGCTATTTATTTTTAGTTGGTTTTTGAAAATATCTTTAACTGTATCCTCGCATTCAGTCCAGGTTTCACCTGCTTTTTCTTTTACTCCATCTATTCGCAGATTGTTTCGTCGAGATCTGTTTTCGAGATCGATTGTTTTTTTGGTCAACATATTTAGTTCTTTGTCATAACATTTTCTAATTTGTTTTATTTTCTAATTTGTTTTATTTTATTTTAAGGTTTGTTTCTTAGAAGTTTAATGTTGTTTTAACATCGTTCTATATATCATTCTAAGTTCTATATATATGTATTTACAAGGCCACATGGTTTCATTTTTTTTTCTGGCATACTTTTTTATACTAATCTAACATAGTAAGTTTGCAATTTTATAACCACTACATTAAGATCTAAATGTATGACATTCATGAAAAATAAAAAAGTAGGACATGCATTAATTTTAAAATGTGTTAAACATTAATCAGATTTATACAAATTTAATATAGTTGTGTAAAGATAATGTTTTTATGTTTCTTTGTTTTATTATAGTTTATAGAGATTATCAAATCATTTCTTTCTAACTGGTTTATTAAAGTCATCCTTGAAGGCCAACACTCTTCTTTATTTCCAGTAACTTCTGGGGTTCCCCAAGGTTCTATCCTGGGCCCTGTTTTGTTTCTTATCTACATAAACGATCTTCCTGACAACCTTTCATCTAAAGTAGCTCTTTTTGCTGATGACTCAACTTTATACTCCTGTCTTGACAAAAAGTCTTCTCTTTTTGATCGCCTAGAACAAGCAGCTGATCTTGAATCTGATCTCACTTCAGTAATAGATTGGGGTTCACAGTGGCTTGTGAATTTCAACTCTAAAAAAACCCAGTTGCTTCTGCAAACAACTACCGTAATATGGTCAACATTCCTATATTAATGAATGGCAATCCTCTTACTGAGTCGTCCTCTTTACGTCTTCTTGGATTATTGCTAACTACTGACCTTTCATGACCATTCATAAACCATATATACAATCGATTGCTAAATTAGCTTCTGCTAAGGTTGCTTCTCTTTATCGTGCTCGCCATTTCCTTACTTCTGATTCCATTCTCTACCTCTACAAATTCTTATTCGTCCCTGTATGGAATACTGTTGTCATATTTGGGCTGGTTCTTCTAACGATTCACTTTGTCTTCTTGACAAGGTCCAAAAACGCATTGTAAATGTTGTTGGACCTGGACTATCTGCTAAGCTTGAACCTCTTTCCCATTGTCTTAAAGTTGCATCTCTTTCTCTTTTCTACAAATACTATCTTGGTCACTGCTCAAAGGAGTTATCATCTCTAGTTCCATCAACTAAAATTCATTCTCGTTTTACTCGTCATTCAGCTAAGTCTCATTCGTTTACTGTATCTGTCCCTGCATGCTCTAAAAACTTTTATTCATCTAGTTTTTTTCCCCGTACTTCAATCCTTTGGAACTCTCTTCCATCTTCATGTTTTCCTGACTCATACAACCTTCAATTTTTCAAGTTTTCTGTCAACCGTTTCCTTGCTCTATAACTCTGTTTTTTTTTTTTCCTAGTAACTCCCAACTTAATAGTGGTTGCTTGCAGCCTTGTTGGGAGTGAATGCAAATAAAAAAAAAAAAGTTATGATTTACCTCTTATGGTGGCCCTCTCTGGGCCAGCAGTTATTAATTGAGGCTTTTTCAACGATAAGCAGGGACAGTAGAAATAAATGAAAGGTATACATACTGACAAAAGGTATACATACTGAGTCATTTAAAGAAATAAATGCCCTAAGTTTTTATACAATTAAGTAATATGAAACCTATTTTTGATACTTTTACATGATTATCATCAAAATCAGGAAAGTCTTGAATTATTTGAGAAAGACATGATAAAATTTTAATTTGTCACAAAAAAAGTTTTAGGTCAAAAACCAACATGTAAACAAGATTTATTTGAAATTCTTAATTAAGAATAAGAAAAAATTGAAATTGATGTAACTATCAAGGTTGCCCACTGCCTTGTCTCTGTCAAGTAAAAATTGATGCTAATACCTTCCTGAAAATGTATTAAAGAATTCTACTTCAAATAAAGATATTTTCAATAAAAAAAATGTTTTGTCTGTCTAAAAAAACATTTGCATCAGCATATCTCAATAAAATGCTTTAGATTGCTTAGATTTAGTAAAAATTTGTTTTACTTTTGAAATCAATTTTTTGACATTTAAGTGAAAAATTTGAAGAAATTTTGAAAAATATTTTTTCATTCAAAACTTATCTTTTTTATCATTCGCTTTAATATGAACACAACATGTCTAGGAGGTTTGGGACCCCTTTAATAAGACTGCAACTTAGTGCAACCTAACATAATTTATTCTTATGTTTTTGTTCTGTTATTAATTTTTGTAAATGATTCTTCTTGATTTAACCACGATTTGTGAGAGTGAATCATTCAAACTTATTATCTGCACATGCTTTTTTTTTAATTTTTAGAAAATATTGTTGCTGTTATAAATTTTAAAACTCTTACCACAAAAACAATTGTAAATAAATGCTAAGTTATAATTAAAAAAAAAACAGCAAAAAATGATGCGCCTGTTTTACCAGAAAAAAAAGCTTGTGGAAGAAATCAGTAAACCAGAAGGTTAACTGAAGTAAAAACAAAATTTAAGAAAACTACAGCATCTAGTTGGAATGCATTACAATTGCAGTTGTAGAAAATTCTAAATCAAAGTAATTGTGACAGCTTTCTTAAGAAATTATATTTTCCTAATTTCAAAAACAAAGAAATCCAAACCATCTTGTTAGCTATAAACCAAAAAAATCAATAACTATAAAAAACAAATGAAGTCAAAATACTTTGTGTTACTTAGAATTAAAAAAAATCTTAATAATTTCTATAACTTAAAAAACCAAAGAAACTTCAATAATCTTCATAACTTAAAACCAAAGAAACTTCAATAATCTCCATAACTTAAAACCACAAAAACTTCAATACAAAAAATAAAGAAATGTTAATAATATTTGAATTCAATCATCAAACCTGAGAATTATTTTAAGTTTTTAAACAAATTAATTTAAGGAACAACAAAATCGATTTAAAAAAACTTATTACATTAATGTAGATTTTTTTTTCTAGACTTTAGATATCTTTAATCTCTTACTATGATTACATGTTATAGAGAATTACAAGATCAAAAATTTAAAATTTTAAAGAACATTTAAAATGTCAATTTTATACCTTTCCAGTACTGTCTCTTATTCTTGCATTAAACTCTCTCCCTTCAATAACCAAAAAGTCACTATTTGGTTGAAGTATGCCACATTTCAGAGCAATTGAACGAGCTGTGTTAACATTATCACCTGTTACCATTCGAACAGTAATTCCAGCGTTTTGACATTGCTTGATAGCTGCTGGTACCTATAAATTATGTGTCAATTATTATGCATAAATGTTTTTCTTTTTAATTTTCTATGCAACTTATTTGTTTTTAAACTTAGAAAATTTTATCCTGTTGCTATGCTAACAGGAGTAAATTCAGAATGTTTATATAATTATAAGCATATTACAAAAACCTATTTCTATGTTTATAAGCTATATTTTATCTATGATAAAATATAGCTTATAAACATATACCAAGTTTTATCCGTTGATTTTAATAGAAATAATTGAAGCCTGTTAAATTCAATGTTTTCTTTTGCATATCTCTTTTTAATAAACTATGTCAGAGTGTTCTTCAGCAATTTATTTATTGATTATTGGGAAGGTGTTGTTCAAATGAACCAGTTTGACAAATTTTTGTAAATAATATTCAAATTAATAAATCAAGAAATAATATCAAAATTTTCACAACTTGAAATTCTTTGAACAGCTGTTACTAGCTGTAAATTTACCATCAACTCACCTATCTAGATTTTTGTGTTTAATTCTTAATACAGCATTTTAAAACATATTTTTCATAGATATATTGTTTACTGTTTATATCTATGAAGTATACAATGAAATATACAAAATATAATATGAAGTATACTGTATCTATTTATGAAATTAATTTAATATATCCATTTTTGAAAAAATTAAAATTAAATATATTGTAATAGTATGGAATGCAATAAATGTACATTTTTAGTATTCACATTGTTGATTGCATTCTGCAATCAGCAATGTGAATGCTAAAAATGTACATTTATTGTTTTGCTTTTTTATTAATTTTTGCAATACGATAAACTAACCGTTTCATTAAACAGTGTTTACGGTTTTTTTTAAAAAACTAAGAATTTAATGACCACAGATATTTCCGGATATTGCAACTCGCGATCACTTAATTCGAGCCTTGGGTAGAATGTGGAATCAAGTGGAATCAAGAGATGATGCTGATGAAAAGTTCTTAGCAAACAATTCAGCTTTGTCTTTAGGTAATGTGACAAAATCTGAACCATACAAGAGAGGTGGAATAACAGATTTACCCTAATTATAGATACTGTTAAAGATTCTTCAGAAGTCACAAGAGCCTAATTTTTGAGATGAAATAGAAGATTTTGTGATCTGAGAAAAGCGGGCTTAGGCGCTAGACAAAATATTTTGACAATGGTTTCTAGCAATAGAAAACAGACATCTGTTTTCTGGAGAATTGTTTTGCTGATAGATATGGAAATAATGGTTTCAATTAGAAATTGCAACAGCACAATGAGAGGAAAACCATGGAGAAGAGTTAGACTTCACTTGGAATCATGGACAGGGAATAAAAGATTCCATGCCAGCTTGAATCTAAGAAGTTACATAAGAAACACATTTGTCAGTAGGAAGACGAAAGATTTGTAAGCCACCACTAAGAAAATCACAGAAAGAGTCCAAGTCATCTTAAAACAAAGATCATAAAATACACAGTAATAAGTAACTTATAGTTACTAGCTGGGGCTATTCTAGGAAAAAAATTTGGTGGCGGTACCCGTCCCGAAGAAATTTAGCGCAAATATATAAAAACAATAAATATTTTCCGTAAAAATAAAAGACCTCAATTTTTAATTTGGGCGGCACCCGAATCGATGCCTAAATACGGTTGACGCTGTCAAAAACGGTCCAGAATAGTATTTGACTACAGTGATAATACTAAATCTAAATACATATGCAACACAACAACTACAAATTTTACCTCTGGTCTGACTGGATCTTCAATACCAACAATTGCCATACAAATTAAGTTTGATACTACACTGTGCTCATCTTCCCAATTCGGAGTTTCTAAAACATAACAACATACCATTAACAATTAAAATTTTCAGGAGCTAAAAAAAAAAAAAAAAAAACAAAATCAAATTTTAAGCATACTAATTATTTAAATTTTTCTCTAAAAACAATAAATAAAATTTTGTTTTTTATATAGTTAGTATAATGTAATGGAAAGTATAATAATGACTTAATAAATTAATTATCAAGACTGGGATCTAATTTTCCTTCTTCAAACATCAGAAAAATGCTAATATTATTACTTATGGAAAAGATTACAAAATTATTGGATTTTTCCATAGTCATCTATCAAAGGCAACTTAAATTTCTATTTAAGTTGCCTTTGATAGACAACATTTACTTTTATTTTTAGTAACTTCCAAAGAAAATCTCATATACTATTCAATGTTATAGACATATATTGTTTTGTTCAATGTTATAGACATATATATATATTGTTTTGTTTTAGTGCATGAAACATATTTACAAATTGAAGTTATTAATTTCATTTCATTACATGAATAAATGAATAGTTAGTTATAAATATAATAGAATAAATAAATAGTTGTTAAAGTAAAACAAAAATAATGCATGCGAAAAATAGGGGAGTAAAACAAACGAGAAAAAGCGATAAAAAAAAGTGACAAAACTAAATATAAAATACTAGATTCTTTTTTATTTGCTGGAACCATGATAAAAACCATGTATTGTTATAATTACTAGGATCTAGCCTCACCTAGTTACTTTTTACAGTTGCATACGGATCTTTCTACAAAAATAAGTCTCTTCCATAATGTCATATATATAAAAAAGTGGCATTATGGAAACCTATCTAAATCAGTGTGGAGCCATGGGAATTAAATTTGCAAAAAACTGACAAAGAAACCAATGCATTTAAAAAAACAAAACAAAAAACAAATCTATATGACAAATCTATATGACAAATTTAAAAAAACAAAACTAATTAAAAAAAAATTAAAAAAAAAAAAAGCATTTAAAAAAACAAAACAAAAAACAAATCTATATGACAGCAACAAATACAGCATAAAACAGTAAAAATGAAAAAGTATACTGAAAACTATAATTGTAAGAAACTAAAAACTAAACGCCATTATAAACAAACTAATGTATGAACAAACTAAATTATTTGTTTTTAATGTCTTAAATTAATGCAATTAAATGTTCTTAAATATTGAAATATGTAATGAAAAGACATAAAAAACTTGCAAAAATAGTGACAAATTTATATAAAGAGTCATGAATTTCATATTAATAAATCTTGTCTATAAACAAAATGTGAAATTGGAACAACTTTATGTCAATGGCATCCTTATACTTTATTCTGAACCACTTGGGTGATAAACAATTCAAACATTTTTCTGAGTGTTGCCTAAATCAATGGGTCTTTATTGATTTTGTGTTTGTGAAAATAATAGAAAAAAATACCTTATCGTCCTTCTAACAATCCCATGAAATATGAAAAAAAAATTACACAAAATGATATCATTAATATATCTTTAAATGAAACATCTTAATATATTTCAACAATATATAAATAAAAATTTTTTCAGTATGTAAAATAGATGTGTAAATTTTACATTGGCATTTTTTTATTATGAAATGCATATCTACATATTTCCAGAAAAGTATATTAAGCTTAGTTTCTGGATAAGGATCTATAAAAAAATTGCCTAAAAATGTAATAAGATGCAAAATAAATAAAAAAAATCCATAACATTTTTTTTATTCGTTACATGAGTAATGAGAAAGGTGAAATTTTTCTATTTAAGAGAATAATTTGAAAAGATCCATCTGAACAAGATGATGAAATGGTAACTGATTTAAGTTCCTTTATCAGGAAAAAATAATCTTGTGGCTAATAAATGTTTGTTTCTTTTTTTCCTTTTCATCCTAACGATGGATAAAACTCTGAACTGACACAGCATATATAAATTAAACTAAAGAATCTTAAAGCTGAAAACAAAAGTTAGCAAAAAATACTAATAATATATTCGTACTGAACTTATATTATATAATTCATAAAGACCAAAAAAAAAAAAAAAATAGTGGTGAAAATGTAAACGAAGATTATATCTGCTCTAAGTAAAAATATATGAGTAAAGAAAATCTTTTCATTATTTAACCAATCAGTTTAAACAATAAATTGTTTTGCATATTTTAAAGAGTTTTGCTATATTAAAAACAGGTTTTATAATTAATATTGACATTTATGATCGTATTTTATTGTGTATCTGTAAAGAGACTAAAATACAGCAAAAGATATTTGCTAAATACTTTTATTGTGTTATTACAACTAGGAAAATCCAAATTTACTTGCTCATCCAAACCCTAACCATATTTAAATTGGGGGTTTTATATAAATGTTTTCATTCTGTAGGTATGTTTTGTTTGTATGTAAAGTTTTATTATCTATGTTTGCTTCACCACAGCAAACCTGAGCCTCACCTGCTCTCATATTGAATCAGTTCAATATCATAGCAACAACAATTAGATTTATTATTCATTAATTCATTAACATTGAAATCAAATGTCTAAAATGCCCCTTATATTTTCTTAACTTCTATATACTGAAATTTCTTTTTGGCTTTCCCAAAATCTAGTTTCCTCTGGTCAATCTGTATTTACACCCTAAAAACACATAAAAATACTTTTATGAACCCTATGTTTATTCTATGAATACAATACTATAAAATTCATACCCTTGTCAAAATCCCGATAAGCTATACATATTGTTCTTAAACCATTTGATGCCATTGGTTCAATGATTTTTTGAACTAGTTTTGCTTCATCAGCCTTTGAAAATTCATGAATACTGCCATTTTCATTTATATATTGTGTACATTTTCCTAACAAAATTTCTGATGCTCCCTTCGAAAACAATCTATAGCCACCACCTGGCTTTTCTATTACTGTTGACATTGATTTACGAGTTGAATTAAAAGTATAAACATGGACGAAACTTTCTTCAGGAATTTCATCACGATAAGGTTGATAAGTTTCACCAAGTTCCAAAACAAAACCAAGTAGTGCACATTCAGTTTTGTTGCCAAGTTGAATAGGTAGTCCTTGACCACTTTCTGGTGGCTTAATGAAAAATAAATCAAAATAAAATAACTAATTAAATATAAGACAAAAATCAAACCAAAACTACTAATCAAAGATTATAAGTTAATTTCAGCCAATACAACAATCAAGAGTTTTAAAATAACTTTATTATAAATTAATAATTTTATTAAAACTTTAAAATTATCTCTAAAAAGCAAATACAAAACTATTGATTTTCAATAAAATAAGCTAATGTTGATGCTTTGACCAACTGTAATTAATCAGCTTAACTATCAGCTGATTAACTGGCTAATTTTTGGCCGATAGTTGAGCTCAAAAAAAGGGGTTACCATTAAACATAGAAGCGTAGAACAATTTATGTACGCTTTAAGAAATTTTTACGTAAGCAGTAAGCAATTTCGGTTAAGAGACTTACCATTTTTTAACTTTTTAATTATACTATAAGCGGTAAGATAAAAGAAGTAACTAATTTTAAAAAAAATCACATTAACTTTTGAATGACGTTTATGTAAAAATTTTTTTTACAAAAGTTTAAATGACAATTATGTTTGATATAAGTGCTATTTAAATAATAAATTTAAATAAATTTTTTCATTAGTGAATATTTACTAATGAAAAAAACTCAAATAAAATTAAAAGTTTAATTTTATTTTGTTTTTATTTTATTGTAATGATTGATTTTTTAAACTTGAATCAAAGATCATAAAAACATAATTTAATTCTGATAAAAAATATATGAATTAATTTAATTTAAAACTAATTTAATAAAAATATATAATTTTATTTTAATAAAAAAAGATATATAATTTAATTTAGATTTAAAAAATATATAATTTATTTTTGATTTTAAAAATATATAATTTAATTTTGATTTAAAAAAATATTTATATTATAAGTTTATTTAAATTAAAGTTAATGTTTGGGTTTAACTTACCTGTCAAATCTATTTAAAAATATTATATTCAGCTTATTTTTATGGCAATTGTTTTTTCGGTTTTCCTACCTAAACATTTTTTTTACTCAAAATTAAATTTTAAATAAACGGCTGCATCAAAAGTTTGCACAAAACATAAGTTAAACTTTTTTTTATATATAACGCAAGTTAAATTGTAGCAATTATTTCTTAATAAACAATATATTCAGCAATGTAATTTTAATAATAAAACTTTAAATAAATAAAGTAAACAAATAAACATAATATTTTTAAGTTGTTTTACAGTAATTAATATTATTTCAATAATTTAAAAATCCTCACATCAGTCAATGTATGTACTAAAGCCATCAAAACTCTCCAAAATCATCAAAAAAGACATGAGTGCTTAAATATGCTTTTATATTTGTATATAAACAACTTGGCAGGAATAAACAAGAGAGCAAGCTTAGAGAAGCTAATATAAAATGGCAAGCAGCTTATCTAGGCAGCTTTAGTGCAAGCTATCTGTTTTTACAGGAACTATCAGTTTAAATTTTTTTTTAATTGCTAATGATGCTTGATGACTTTTTTAAATGTGTTTTAAAACACAAAGAATTTGTTTAAAACTTACATAATAAATTTATAATAAATTTTTTTAATGATAAAAATTATATTATTAAAATATACAAAAGAAAACATAAATATTATGAAAACATAAAAAGTTTAAGCATATTACATAAAATCTTAAAAATTCTTATAAAAAACCATCACCAATTGATGTTTCAGTTATTTAAAACCCCTTCTATTCAAAAAGTTATTTAAAAAGTTCACTGATTTAAATTTTTCCTAATTCCCTTGGAATTGGGAAAAATGAGGTCAGCAATATTTTTCTGACCTTAAACTGTTAGAGGTTGACATAACGTAAAGCAAAAAAAGTTTGACACAAAGTTTTTAACATAAAACATAGAAAGGAAGTTAGCAATTTTTTGATGACCTCAAATACTTTTAGGTCAGCAGTTAGGTCGACATTGCAGAAAGCTGATCCTAATTCTGAGAGCCGTATAAATGAGTTTTCATATCTACAATATCTATATAAGAACGCAGTTTCATAAAAATTTTTGGTACTTTAATTCTTAAAATGTGTGTTTGTACATTTTTGTGAACTCAGAAAAATAAGAGAAACAAAGAATAAAAAAAAAAATTTATACTCATCAAATTATCAAAAATTTTTACACTTCTAAAAAAATTATAATAATAAAAAGAATTATAACAACATTAACAACTCTTAATTAAATATTTTACCTTAATCCTTGATCCATAGCTACTATTTATAGATACACTCTGACAAAATAGGTCAAGAAATTCTTGTTTTAATGACCCATGAGCTGGAACTGTTTTGTAGTGAGATCCCTGAATGTAACTTTCTACAACAGTCATTCGATTTGTTGTCAAGGTACCTGTTTTATCAGAGCAAATTGCTGTAGCATTACCCATTGTTTCGCATGCATCTAGATGACGTACTAAATTATTATCTATTAACATTTTTTTTACAGAATAAGCTAAAGATATAGTAACAGCAAGTGGCAAGCCTTCAGGAATTGCAACAACCATTATGGTTATCCCAACAATGAATGCTTTCAAGAAATCCATTAGGTGTTTATTGCTCCATCCCATTTTTTGAATAGCATAAGTTTCAATACTAAATCTCAAAATAATAACAAAAGTGGTGATTACAGCAGCACCAACACCAATCCAACCAACCATAAGAGCTAATTTTGTTAACTTATTCTGCAAAATAGATTTGCCCTTTTCTTCATTTTCTCTTTCTTTTCGCTCTTCTTTGCTTTCTTCTTTTTGAACTACTCCACATTCAGCTGGATTTTTACCTGCTCCTAGTAAAACCATAATTATCCCTGATTTTGAGTTTGCACCTACAGCTGTGACAATGAACTTTCCACTACCTTCCATAACATGTGTACCAGATAATAATGCAGGATTTTCTAAATTTTTTTTCACTAAATCAGATTCACCTGTTAAAGAGCTTTCATCAATTTTTAGATCATTACCTTGAAGTAAAATACCATCTGCAGGAACTAAATCTCCATAGTTAAGCAAAGCTATATCACCTACTAAGAGCTCTACAACTTTCAACTTTGCAACTTCACCATTTCGTATCACATCTATGACTTGATCATCATCTATCTTGCTTTGCAACTGTCTAAACTGCTTTTCTTTTTGCCAGTCATTTAGAGCAGTGACCATGGCAACAACAGCAACAGCAACTAAAATAGCAAAACCTTCAATCCAACCAGTTTTAACATTGTCAATAACCATCCCTAATATAAGAGAAATAATAGCACAAACAATTAAAATTCTTAAAATAGTGTCTTTTAGTGCTTCCCAAACTAACATAAGAAAGGTTTTTGGAGGTTTTGGTTCAATGTAGTTTCTACCAAAAACTTTTCTGCGATTTTCCAATTCTCCTGGTAATCCTTGCAACCCTTTAACAGCAGAACTTTTTAAAGCTTTTACAAGGCCATTTACATTTTTAAATTGTTCATTAATGGCTTCTAACACATTACTTTTTTTCATAAGTTCTACCAACTCATTACTTGTAACACGAAAATCATTATTGGGAATATCACTCTCATCAACACCATCATCAGAACCAGTTAAATTTTTTTCTTCTTCTGCCATAACTTATAAAATAATAAAACTAAAAAAAAAGAGAAAAAGAAAAAAAGGTACACTTATATTGTACAGTTAATGCAGTGTAAAATCATATATATATACAAAAAATACTATAAAACAGGAAAAGCCATTATAAAATATATTTCAAGGCTTTTATCTGAGTTTTTTTTTTTAAAGCAATAAATTAATAATTTATTGTCACACGAAAAATTCAATACTTTTTTAAGTTCTATTGAGATAAAAACTATTGATAAAAAGCTTAAGATAAATAGGATTATTTTTATTTATAAGAATACAAAAGAGGAAAAAAAAACAACACAAAAATAAACAAACTAAATACTTAGGGAAAAAAAGATGATTACACAGCTGTTAAAAGAAGCATCTTCATTGTCTTTTAATACTATCTTTTTTAAATAACTTACTTAATGACAAAAATTTCTTTAGTTAAGGTATTAGTACAATCCTACATGAAGTCATATTATCTCTAAATGTCATCATATAACTCTAGAGTTAGTACAAAGTGAAGAAATAATTGTTTCCATGAGCAAAATATATATATATATATATATATATATATAATATATATATATATATATATATATATATATATATATATATATATTATTTTAAAATTATCAAGAAATACAGTTTTTCTCAATTCTTTTCTCTCAATTCTTTTCTCAATTCTATTTCTTGATGTTATTAAAAAAATATATAATATACTCTCATACAAGATGTCATCTTTCAAATATATATATATATATATATATATATATATATATATATATATATATATATATATATATATATATATATATATATATATATACATATATATATATATATATATATATATATATATATATATAAAATGCATTTTAATCTAGAATTAAAGGATATATTCCATCTGTAAATATAAAGTGAGCCTTATCTATTTAATACTACATAAGCAATTCATAACACACAATAACTCAGCAATATGTTTTCTTGATTTGAAGATGTAAATGTAGAAATAAAAATTTTAACAACCATTTAATAAGGCAAACTTGAAATTAAAGTTACTGTTGCATTACAAATGTGAAACAATAACTTTAATATTAAGAATGATGCAGATGATTTATATTAATCACAACGTTGTTTTCAACTGAATCAGCTAAAGTATAAATTATTTTTTAATAAGAAAACTGACTATAACATTTTATGCTGCCAAAAAAAGTTTTTTTAATACTGATTTTACAATTAATTGTGAGCTCTATTAAAAGAAAAAAAAAACGATGATACAAAGATAAAAACTTTGTGTTTTCTAATAGTATTCCTAATAATATTCAGTATGTTTTTTAAAAATGATTATTATTCTTGAAACTTTTATATAAGTTTGCTTAATTAAAGACTTTAGATGATACACGTTTAAAAAACTTTTTTTTTTTTTAACAATTTTAAGGAATTAAATGTTTAATAGTCTTGTGCAACTCACAAATAATTTTTAAATAAATTGTTATATATAAATTGTCCATCGTTGTAACGTTGCATCTTTTTCTCTTATATATAAATACTACAATGTTCGTTGCTCAAGTAAACTTTAATCACTTATTCTATCAACAAAAACTCACATAACCTATCATTCAGCTAAGGAATATCCTAATACTGGACCATCATGCTCAAAATCTTTTAATCATATTTTTTTCATAAACATCAGCGACTTGGAATTCTCTCTTACCACCATGTTTTCCTTATCTTTACAATTTACGGTTTTTAACATAAAACTTTTAAGATTAAACAAGTGTGGATTTTGTTTGAAACTTATAACTTTTTTCCTTATTTATTTTTCTTATTATTTCCTGCTTTATTTCTAACATGCTTCAAAAACATGGTTGCATTATTAAGTTTGTAAACAAGTTTGCATTCTATTTATCTTATTTTTTTCTACTCATTTTCTGATATTTACCAATATATATATATATTTTTTTTACACTCATCTTTTGATATGTATCATATTATCGAGTGTGTTGAGAGATTATGCATTTATGACATTCTGACATTAGACATTCTGAAATTTCCTACCATTAGGCAGTTTTTTTCTTTTTCAATAAACAATTATTGTCACATATTTATAATTATTGTTATATGTAATATAATTTATTGTTACAAGTATTGCATTAATGATGTATTGATTGCATTAAGGATGCAATATTTATGAAAAAAAATTAATTTAAAAAAAACTGTTTCTGATACTATTTATCACCTAACAAAATGTCATGAAACATTGACCTGCAATATTTAAACAAAACCTTTGTTCAAAGAAAAAAAACTTATGCATAAACTTTTGTAACCTGGATCAAACCTTTTCATTCGCAAAACCATAAAAGCTTTTTATTTTAAACTTTTTTTAGATCGAATGTATGTTCAATAATTAGCATTTCAATGTAGCATGTACAATAATTTAGCACTAAACTTAAAGGGGCTGGGAGAATAAGGGTTGATGGATTGATTTTTTGAGTAGGGTCTGATCTTTTGTCAACTTATAGCTTGCATTAATGCACTTTTTCTGAAAATCTTTTTCATTCATTAGCACTCCATTTGCCATATGAAGCATTTTTTTGTTACTCAAAAATCTAATATCTTGTTTATATATTAAGGCAACATAGGTTAAAAAATTTTAAACAGCAATTTTTTTAACTAATATTTTTATTAAATTAGACACCAATAAATTTAAGTAAAAAATTCTGAAACTTTTTTGAAGCAACTAAAGTATTAAGAAAACTTATGAGCAACAATATTAAGCCTACAAAGTCTTCTTATTAAATTAAAAAAAAAAAAAGCTATTAAAATTTGTAATTAAAAACATCTTAATTATAACTATATTTGTTCAATATCTTAGTATGAAAAATATTTATTAGGGCAAAGTTTATTTAACTTGGCATTTTTAAATATGTTTTTAAAATATATTATTATACCTCCACAGAAATTACAACATTTCAAAAACAATGTTTGGAACGCAAAAAAAGTCCAGGTTAATATAAAATATTTGGTTATGTAACACCTAAACTTTGAAGAGTATATCTTAAGTTTTCTCTTTGAACAAAACCTTCTGTCTAATTACTGAATTTATTGATATGTATACATTTTTTTATAACATCTTAATAGTATGATAATATTTATATAAAAAATAGTAGTTCTATTTGTTTTGTATTTTTTAATTTTATTATTTTATTTTGATTCACTCCCAACAAGGCTTTAACTAACCACTATTAAAATTAAAAAGAATAGAGCAAGGAAACGGTTGACTTGAATAGTTGTAGGTTGTATGAGTCAGAAAAATACGAAGATGGGAGAGAGTTCCAAAGGCATGCAGGGACCGTAGAGGATCGACAACTGTATGGTCTGACAGTAAATTATTTAACTCAAGATGGGATGTGAGAAACTTATTTATCAAAGACTCAAAGACCTTGCTAATAACAGATAAAAGACTGATTGGAGGATGATTGGAAGGATCAGAATGTTCTTCAGAGTTTTATGAAAATTAGACAAGTGTAATTTTCCAGTAAGCAGAAAAACAAGACTCAATCAAGCATTTATTAAATAGTTTAGAGAGAATTGAAGAGAGTTCTGGAAAAATATTTTGTAAGAATATGACTTGTTGTCTTGACCACAGCAGTAGAAGAGTTTAATTGAGATATGACTTTAGCAACGGAAGCTAAGGTGATTTGAATGTCTAACAATGGGTTAACCTGTTTAATTGGAATGGAAGAAAGAGAATGGCCATATGATTCGAGAGTCAAATTAGAAGAAAAGTTTTTTGCAAATAGTTCTGCCTTATCCTTGGGAAAGGTAATAAGATCAGAACTTTGTTAACAACGCTGTAAAAGAATCTCCAAAAGTCTCTAAAGCCTAACTTCTAAGATAAGATACAAGATTTAGTGAACTGAAAATAATGGAGTTTAGCATCTGACAGCACCTTTACACATTAATTTCTTGCAATAATAATAATAATAATAATAATAATAATAATAATATTAATAATAAAGAAACTTAACACAAGCAAGGATCAGAGACATAAATCAAGGAGTGAAGGTAAATGATTAGGGTTGTAAGGAAAACAATCACAAAGATAACTATCTAAGTAAGAGATTGAGAAATGCAGTAGTTATAGGCTTTAAGGCCAGCTGGACCAGTAACATTAAAGCCAAGCCATTCATTGTGGTGAGCATTAAAGTCACCAATAACAATTGGTGACTTTAATGCTCACCACAATGAATGGCAGTGGGGTAAAAAGAGCATCTTCAATATGATCAGAAATTACATCAAAAAGAATGCAATCTTGGGAAGAAGGAGAACAATGAAGAACAAAGAGAATGGTAATAGAGTGAAGAGATGCTAAGGGGGAGGACAAAAAAGAATGCTCAATGGATTCAAACCTGATTTCACAACAGATAGGTGAATTGATGCATATGTATACCCCTAAGCCAAGCATGTCACTATTGAAGTCTTTGTGAATCACAAGATAGTACCCATCAACACTGAGATCAGAAGAAGGAACAGCAGAATTTAAATTAGTCTCACTAAGAGCAGGCAAGTCTGGTGAATTTTGCAAGAGATAAGATTCAAGTGATGGAAGATTGCTTCGCAGACCACGAATATAAGTAAAAGATATATTAAACAGTTAAGTGGTGGGGATGGCTTTTTATGTTAATATTTTGTGTTACTTTTGGCATGATTTTACTTTAAAGAGAACTTGACTCATTATAGACAGAGTACAACCTTTAAGCAATAAGCTATGAAAATTTCTCAGCCCTGTTAATTAACGCTAAGTCACAACATAGGGCTCCTTAACATAGGGCTCCTGACCTAGACAATGTGCACCAAAAACATTAACAGAGACACCATTTTTGCGCAACATGGCACTGTTAGTAAAGTTTGGAAAACCTTGCTACCAGCCGGCCTTAGAACCATTAAACTTAGTTTTAGAGCTGTACCCTCATTAGGAGATAACTAAAAGAATTGCATAGCCACTATTAAGGAGGCTTA